GGCCCACCATTTCTAAGCCTGGTGGATTGTTAAAGCATCACAGTGGATCAGATCTAATGGAACCAAATGGGCTTGTCAAGCCACCAGAAGCAACCACTTATACAAAAGAAATTTAACGGCTCTTACTCTATTTGGAGCTTCTGACTAGTTATACACTATAACCTTAAGAACCCATTTCTTCATTAAAAACGGGTTATAAACACTCACACTGGGCTGTTCTGCAGCCAAAGTCTTAAAAACCCAGGATGTGCTCCTCCTTGATCCCCTGTTTTAGCACCAGACAACCCTGTTTTTCCATGGTGTCTCAGCTGAGCCAATCAGTCCATTTCAGAGATCTGCCGAAGTGAAGGTGAGACAGACCTCATGATTATTGTTCCAAATTAGAGAGGATGCTCAGACTTCGTGCATCATGTTATGTCTGAAGCTTTATATGATTTATACATGCTGCTGTTTATGGCTACGTCAGGATACTGTTTCTGGATTTCACATCAGCATTCAACGCTGTCTTCCCATCAAGACCGGTCTCCAAACTCACTGACCTTGGCATCAGCACCTCAATCTGTAACTGGACTCTGGATATTCTGACCAACAGACCCCCATCTGTTAGGTTAGACAGCTGCACCCCGTCCACCCTGTCACTGAGCGCTAGGGTCCCACAGCCCTCTCTTCTACTCCCTGTTCACCCATGACTGTTTCCCTATGTGCAAATCTATCCTCACCATCAAGTTCACAGATGATATCACAATATTTGGGTGCAAGGTGTGCTGACAACAACTTGGCCCTCAACAGCAGGAAGACTAAGGAGCTCGCTGTGGACATCAGGAAAGCTAGAGGCTGCAGACACACCCTCAATCACATCAATGAAACCGAGGTGGAGCACATCACCAACCACAACGTACTGACGGCACACATGAGGACTTCTCCTGCTCCATGACCTCCTCCACCCTGATCAGGAAGAAGAAGCATCGTCCTTTCTTACTGAGAGGAAAGCCTATCTGTCACCTCAGATCCTGACCAAATTTTCCAAGCGTGTACCAATAAGATCATCTTTACCAGCTGTATCACGATGCGGTATAGCAGCTGCTCTGTCTCTGACGCGAAGGCTCACCAATGAGCTGTGAAAACCATTCAGCATTTCATTGGTGCCATTTTCCCCAAACTCCAGCCTAAGTGATGCTTGAAATGGACATATCCCAGACCTCCAGCGGGAAGAACACAGATGTGAATACACACACACACACACACACACATACATTTGAATTTTGGAGGAGCCTTGGTATTTGGTACAACATTCAATGTGCACAGAACTCTCATTCTACTCTATGGGAATCACATATGGTTATATACTCAATATGTGGTAAACTTTACATTAACTGCCCTTAATAATGCATTTATAAAGCATTCACAAGACATTCATAAGCAGCATATAAGAATATCTTAACATTCTAGCATACTGTAACATTTATAACAAACATTGTATAATAAAAACAATCATTATAATTGTATAACCATTTGATGTTTGTTATTAATGTATATTAAAGCTGTTAAGGTATGTTAGGATGTTATGGTAAACATGCTGCTTATGAATGTCTTATCAACGCATTATAAAGGCATCACAAAGGTGCAGTTAATGTATAGCGTTACCAAATTATGAGTATATACTGTACAGCGTCTGTGACTGCAATGTAAACCGTTATTTATACCATACCATACATTATATAGATGTATATTTTCTATTTAATTATCACACATGTATATATTGTACAGCTGTTTCAAGCACTTGCACTACCCTGCACTTCTTGATTAGATGCCAAATTTCATTTCATTGTCTGAGTCCTTGTACTTCGTGCAATGACAATGAAGTCAAATGTAATGTAATGTAATGCAATGTAATATTATGTAATCTAATCTAACAATCAGCTCTTGTGCAGTTCATGTCACGCTGATCTGCCTGTTTTAGGAAGGCACAAGCCGCAGACAGAGCGTGCCAGCGGGAGGCCAGCTCCTGGCAGGACCCTAGCGGAGGCATGTGGGCAAACAGGCCTTCTACAGATGCTAAATGTCAACAGTAAGGTCAAAAATTGGCCATTTCCTTTTTAGAGACCAGCTTTAATGCCCTTTACAGGGACTGACTGCTGCTGCGGGAACACGGCAGTGAAAAGGCCTCCGGGACTGAGGTAACAGGAGAAAGGCCGAGGCCCACACCCTCCAACCCCCCCCCCCCCCCGGCCTTTTACGGCATTTAAGAAAGGTTTGCAAAGAACAGCAATGTGCTCTGTGCACTTTACAGTCTCCAGTCTCCACCTCCCGCCAATGCCTGACATACACGCACACGCACACACATACGCACACGCATACGCACACACATACGCACACGCATACGCACACACACACGCACACACACCAATCCAGTACCAAGGCTCCTCCAAAATCCTCGTCACTCCACGTGCTCCTGGCTGCCTCCACGGCTCGGCTGAGGTCCTTGACACAAGCCAGAATGGGAACCAGATCTCTATGCATTTCCGGCGCACCTTCACACTGGCCGTGTTTATACATTCGCAAGGTGACACAGGATCCTTTTCGCAGGCCAGCATGGCATCGAGCCATGAACGAAAACTTCCTGACAACATTCAGGGTTGTTATTAACCTGAAGCATATTATTCATCAGTAGCAACTCATAAATGAATGTATTAGATCTACCTTTATCCAAAAATGCTTTAAAAAGTTACCAAAATAACTGGTTCGAATCCCGAACCAGCAGGGTATTTATTACTCCCCATGTGCTGAATTAGCTGCCTCCTACTATATCACATATGGGTTAAATGCAGAGGACACATTGTGTGCTGTGGTGTGTCAACACTGATCACCTATCAGATTCAATAAATGGTGAATGTTAAATGGACTGCATTTATATAGTGCTTTTCTACTCCTATGAGTACTGAAAGTGCTTTACAACTAATGCCTCACATTTACCCATCCATACACCGGTGGCAAAGGCTGCCATACAAGGTGCCAACCTGCACACTGGGAGCAATTTGGGGTTCAGTGTCTTGCTCAAGGACACTTTAATGGGGTCAGGAGGAACCAGGGCTCGAACCTGCAACCCTCCAGTTGCCAAACGATAGCACTACCTCCTGTGCCACCATCTTCCCCCAACAACCTAGGACTGACAAGCGTGTACGTATCTACCGCCACTTTTAACCAACCAGATTAAACTGAATGATCAGCGGTGAGTGAGCGAGTTATGTGGTATCCCTTACACATGCTCGAGCTGCTGGATATAAAACCACTCAACATAACTGCAACTAGGGCCAGCAGGTTGTGTGTTCAGATCCTGGGAGGACATTGTTGAGCAGAAAGGCATTCCTTTCAAATTACAGTCAATGAGTAAAGGGCTGCCAGTAATGATGCATGGGAAGAAAAATTGTGTTACAAGAGAAAATTGAAAAAAAAAAGAAATTAAAAGCAATACTGATGTGATTACAGCTAGATTATGAACCAAGGACACATTCAGTAGCTGGAGGCAACAGTTACAATACACAACTTCTAATATTGTGCGAATATATAAATCTCCTGTGCTTTGGCATTGATATAATCACAGCAGAGGATGAGACGTCTTTCCAGAATATCTGGAAATATGCGAGAAGATGCACAGAGAACTAGCTGAGGAACATCATTCACTGTGATACAGTGAGAGTGCCCAGGATGGGGGGGGGTTGGGGGGGTGGCAGTGGGGAACATTGCAGGGGTGAGGAAACAGAGCCAGAGAGCTGGGGAGGCAGGCCAGCGCCGGACAAAAAGTAAATGGTAGAGATATTTCTTGTTCTTGGCAGTGGAGAGAAACGAGATACTGAGCACAGAGGGTGTGTGGGGGGGGGGGGCTTTATATACTGCCACGAGATCTTACGTCTCAGGAAGAAGGAGGGCATTTCTTGGAAGCAGCTGTGGAGGAGGATTCACTGGAAGAGAGCGATACAGGATACAGGAGAATGTTCTAGAAGGGTGGGGATCGAGTTTGCATACAAGCGGAATATAAGAATATTTATGAGTGAACTACAGTATAGAGAAAGGTAGGGGTTCTAGAATATTCTAGAAGAGAGGGGATGGCGTTGGCGTATAGGGGAATATTCGTATGCTTAAGAAAGTGCTGCCAAGAAAGGCAGGAGTTGGGAGGATCTTCTAGACGAGTGAGGATGGCGTTTGCATACTGTGAGAATATATATACTTCAGAGGGATGTATAGTGAGAAGGCAGGGGTGAAGAGCATCTTCTAGAAGAGTGGAGACAGAACATGTGGGAGGCAGTGAGAAGTGCGCCCCCTGTGGAGATCAGTGGGAGTTTATGAGCAGCCCGCTGCTCTCTGTCCTTTAGCCCGCACACACACACCCCCACTGTATACTGCAGCACTGCCAACAGCATGCGATCACTGCAATGCAGAGGCCTTTTTCTTGTTCAAGCATGGCGGAGCAAACCTCTGAAGGAGCGGTAGCCGCGATGGGAGACCCACAGGCAAGCAGAGCGGTGCAGCGACTCGACCCACAGGCCTTTCAGTGACAAACACACTGAGCACCTGCCTGATATTTGTCTGCTCATTTCTTAGGGGCAATCAGCATGTTTCTCCGAAATACTTCTCTCTTGCTTACAAGCTTTTGGTGAGTGTGCCACCTGTCTCCCCCTTGTGGTAACAAACGGGTAGTGCTATGTATCTATGTAATATATGTATAAGGGCACATCTATTGTATGTTTGGGAGGGGGTGGCAGGGGGTAGTAGGTGGTTCAATCAACCACAACGAGAACGTGATCATACTGCAGGCTGTGGGCAAATATAAATGCAGGTACATGCTCTCTTCTGCAGTGCAGCACCCCCCCCCCCCCCCCCCCCCCCCCCCGACCACAGTACTCAGAGTGGCGTAACATACAATCCTGGGCAAACCCCCATGCCGAATGCCGAGCCAAATCGACCAGCAGCTGTGATCCCGGTGCTGATCACATGCTACAAACCTGGAGTGGAAGACAGGGCCCGTCTTGGGGAGCACAAGGCCAAGTCTGACAGGCGAGAGGAGAGAGAGACAGTCAGCACAGGGCTGGGTCTCTGCCCACCAACGACACCGAATCCAGCCTCGGTGCCGGACAGGGACCCCTGACTACTTCATGCCAGAATTAGAAGCTTCGGTGCCAGTATAACCTCAGCTGGAGGGTGAAACGGCCAAGGTGGAGGAAAAGCTAAAGGTGACGAACTCGACGATGTGTGAGGATGGGGGAGGGAGCAGATCCCGAGCTTTCGACTAACATGACCCTGGCCTGAATTACAGAGTTACAGGGTCACCGCGGATCCCTGTCAATTTGGCTCTGATAGTCAGAACCTGCCTCCCCCTGGTGTTTTATCAGCCCCAGATAACATGCCAGACTATACAGACACATAAAAAATTCTCTGGCTGCACAGATTGACTCGGAGCTCCACATGCAGACCGCCATCTCTCTGCCGACACCGCGGAGGACGTCCGACCCGCAGGTCAGTCACTTTCTTCAGCATCACGCCGTCCAGTATCGCAAGCATTGTGCTATCTTCTTCTCTTTGTATGGATTTAACAATCAGCACTAAAATATTACCCCCTCTATTCCATTCCTTGTCCTGGATGTCACATAAAGTTTTGCTACCAAAAGGCACCAAGTCCACCAACTTCTACATTTCACTCTCTGATAAAGACCCACATTCTCACTTCTTTCACGAAGGCAAGCTCCCCTCATAGCACAACTGGGGCGTCATCTTCTGAGCACAAGCAGAGAGGTCCAGACAGTTCCCAGACAATCCCCCTGCGGCCAGCTTCAAGGGCTGAGCCGGAACTCACCTTCAGGCCGGTACTGGGCGACGATGGTGACCGTCTGGCCCGCTCCTTTGAGCGCGGCTGCCGCCTGCTCATGGGTGGCACCACGGAGATCGATGCCATTCACCTGCATGGGGCAGATGGAAAACAACACCATCACTGCACAGCACTAGAATGGGACATGTTCAAATCCCACTATGGGGTGCACTGCAGATATCCAAACTGAGTTCCCTAATAAAGCCCTACTTTGACATTAGTAAATATTTTAAAATGTAGACCATGTGCTTGAATCCTAATCTAAACAAATACTTATGTTACTTTGGAGGTCTGTCAGACAGGGTTAGCTGAAGCCTGCCTGGGGCCCTTTAAATGTGAAATTCCAGTGTTAAAGATGGTTTGGAGATCAAACAGCAAAACAAGAACAAAAACCTTTTTTTATGGTCTCAGGATAGAAGAATAAAAATTTGGCCAGACGTGTTCGCTAACAGGCACAGTCTAAAATCACCTTCTACAAAGAACAACATAATCCAACATTATTAACAAACACGGAAAGAATGTTTCACGCTAGCATAACAAAATCTATGGGAATCATGGTGAACAGGGGCGGGCAGACTGTCCTAAGGAGACCCAACAGTGCCATCCTACTCAGACTGACTACAAATCACTGCAGTGAATTCCGTCACTATTGCAGTCAAGGGGAGCTCAGTGGCTGTGAAGAACCCTGAGAAAGCATTACTACAAATCACCCACTTCACCCTGCAGTCACTGGTAAGCCACTGGCAATCTGGTGGGCTGCAAGCTCACAGCCTGAAGATAAATGACTATCTTAAAGCAGGAGGAAAAAGTGACCCCAGGCTCCGATCAGCACAGGTATCATGAGGCAATAAAGTAATTTAATGTCTCACGACATATATGCCTCTTTCCAACCAGCCGGCTTATCCTGTTGTAGCAGGGACAGTAAATGTAAGGTATTTCACATTCTCTAACCCACTTTAGGATTTTTCATCATACCACGCTTCCATACTTTCTTGTGGCGCCATTAATTTGCACAGATTATGACCTCGTTGGAGATGAGAATACGCTCGTCAAGGAGAATCCTCCAAATTAATTATAGAACTAAGACAGTTTGTCTTTCTAAGAGCTTCCATGCTGTGGAACGGGACTGTAATGCAGAACAGTATAACAGCGCCCTCAACTGGCAACTGGAAAGAAAAACAACAGCAGCATCTAACTTAATCTTATGGCTCAATTTTATTGCTATACTGAGCAATATTTTGCTTTTCCAGTTTGATGGCGCATGTCATTACATCTTGTCGGTGAAAAGCATATTTTAAATCTAAAGTTTTTAAAATTGTCATTAGCAACAAAAACAAATTAAAGGATGATACAATCTTAATTTTATCTATACCTTTCCTTGTGTGCTGCTTTGCTTACCAATTGATTGCTTACCAAATTTATTCATTTAAGGTTAAATAATACAAACACACACTTTAAAGACTGCTTCAAATTAGCACTCCATACCTCAGCATCGCTACCTTAATAATGCCACCATTATTTTTTTAATAAGTTTCATTGATGCATTAAATCACCTAATATTCAAACCCGTAAAATGGCAAGTATATATCCGAGCACAATATTTTGACTTCAACAAGCAGATTCAGGCTAAGAGAGGATGAACAAGAAGGACTGGCACAGTCTGAAAACTGGACACAGTGAATCCAGAAAAATGGAGCAACGTATTAATAGTTTATCAAAAATTTTGAGATTTTCCAAAGCAAATAAAATATGACTGTACTTGGCAAGCTCACCATGAAAATAATAAACACTAAATAATACTAAAAACGTAGTAATAAAGAGCAAACAGCTGGAAGTACACCAAAGGTGCCCGTACGCATGTCCCGGGCAGCAGTCCTACACACCTGAGCTTAGGCTGTCGCAGCCGCAGGGCCGTACTCACCGACAGGATCTGGTCTCCTCGACGCAGCTCCCCGCTCAGGTCAGCCGGCCCACCCGCCAGGATGAAGGAGACAAAGATGCCTTCGCCGTCCTCGCCGCCCACGATGTTGAAGCCCAAGCCCGTGGAGCCCTTGTGCAGGACGATCTTGCGGGGCTCCCTGTACAGGCATGTCAGGTAGAACAGGTAGTCAGAGTCCGTGGGGCTCAGCATCTTCGGGAGCCAGGAGAGACGTACACGCACGGCACACACGCCCAGCTCTCGTGCCCGCCCGCCCGCCTGCGTGCCCACTCCCGTGTCTGCTCTACCGATGGTACCAGCCCTACAGGGGATTGCTCTACTTAAACACCACTTGTCCCATTTCTGAGTCGTCTCCTAGAGACGCAGAGCCAGGTCCCTGTGCTGAGAATAACGGGTGTCTGCAGACAAGGACAGCAACGCCACTCCCTGCATGGCAATCCAAACAGAAATCTTACAGCACTTGGTAGTAGTTCCCCAAGACTGAAGCAATACACAAACCTCGTCACCACGTCTGTTGACTATCAGCTGACAATAATTCAAGAATGGTATGTAACATATTTTAGGTGCTTTATTCACAAAGGTACTTAAAACAAAGCCACATTCATTGATATTTTCATCTGTTTTGGGTGTAGAAACGGAAATTAATAGCTATAGTTTTCAACTGCAATACCACAGTTCTCCACTAGTGTCCACCTGCTTGTTCCCAGGTGCCCTTGTGCTCAGTGCTTTGCATTGTGACAAACATGTCATTCAGTATCATCTGCTACTATTCAGTTAGCGCCCAGTCATCAGTGTGTGACAACTCCTATATGGATAGAATGCCTTTTAAATTTGTTTTCAGTATCTGTATGAAAAATATCTGAAATATTTTCTCAGGATACTAAAAAAAAAACTTAACAAAAAAGAGAAATAAAGTACTAGCACGTACTTCTATTTTACACCATTAAGATCATGCACTCTTCCTAGCGAAAGGATCTCTCTCCACCCTGTGGTCAGCCTCATAAGGCAAAACCATCGCAGGAGGGGGGTGCGGAAGCTAACAGCCTGTGGTGAAGATGAGACATTTTGGATTGTTCCTTTTCTATAAAGAGGCCAAAGAGGCTTTTGGTTTTGATATGCACACCTCTCTTCCTCACACCGAGTATCTCCTGTCACCTAAGCTGAGCTGCCTTTACTCGGGGCAGGCAGGCAGCCCCTGACTCTTTACCTTCCGGTACTTCTCTTAGCCCACTGTCTTTCGGGGTGTTTTTTGACAGCGGTTTCTGGCGAAAGCTCCTTCTCGCCCAGCTACAGCAGCGAGGCTTGCAGCCGGTGCTGCCACACAGTGACATTTCCCTCGACCTAGTTGTGGAAGTGTAGCTCCCCCTGCAGGGCCTCTCTAACTGGGCCACCGCTTCTTCTCGTCCTTCCGCCCCGGCCCACCGAGTACCCGATCTAGCCGGAAACCAAAGAATTCCCCTCACATGGCTCCTCTTTCTACAGGCAGGGACGCCCACGTGCATACATGTGCAGAGGAATGCGGAGAACCTTCTAGGCATTATAAGTACTGACACGCTGTCTTAAAGACAATACTGAATGTTACTAGGGTGAGTATACCTTATTAATAGCTCATCCACCATCCGCAATCTGTAGAAATATTGAAGTGAATTTGCATTAATAGAGGATACATCCAGATACTGTACAAACAGAAGTAATGAATTAGATCTTACGTTGGTAGGAAACTTGTTATTGTGTGTAGGGTACTTTAGTAATCTGGTTACACCTGTGCTCCACCACTTTAAGATGCATATTCCAAATACGGCCACCAGATGGAGGCACAGTGCAACTAATAGATTGCCTGGCAAGGCAGACCTTAACAAGAAGGATTATTTTCAATAGATACATACATACAGTAGCAAACTCAGTTGTCAGGACAATATATATATATACACTATATATATATATATATATATATATATATATATATATATATATATATATATATACATACACAATATATATATATATACACAATATATATATACACTATATATATATATATATACACAATATATATATATATATATATATATATATACACAATATGACTGTATATACACACAAGACACAATATATATATACACACACACACAGTTTTTAGACTAGAGAACAAAAGCACATTCATCCTTAGCAATGGAAAGCCTTTCCTCACTCCAATAAGGATTCAAGCATGTATTTTCGAATAAGTTTTGACCAGTTTGTTCAGTTCATCACTTTGTTTGACCACTTTGTTTAAAGTACAGCTGACGTATTTCCAGGTTATAACACTCAACATAACAATTAGTGAACTTGCAAGAATACAAATTAATTCAACTCCACCCACAAATTTCATTGCGCAGTTTTTTGGTGTGGTCCTGTCCTGCTTTCTAATGTGAGTTTTAAGGCCAATAAAACGACCCATCTGCCATGTGAGTCCTTAGGTTCAGCTCTGAGCATAAAAAGTGAATTAGCCTCTGTTTTTACCTCTGAATTTTAATACTTCAAATATGGTCTCCGCACAGCCGGCTGTTACAGAGAATAAAGACATTAAATGCATCTCTGAAGTGAATCCTTAAGGATTTGTACATTCGCTATTCACGTTGTAAGTAAGATGTGATGATTTAATGCAAATGTACAGTTCCCATGCTGACGCATGTCCTTGTATGCACCACTGCTTATTCTGTCTGGAACTGGCCTGACCCCTTTTATGCAGTTTGATTTATTCCATTTGGAAGCCAACCAAAGTTCCACATACTGCTTCGTCCCCTTTTAATGGGTATGGCAATGAGGCACTTACCAAAGACCGTCTGGAAATGTAAGCCATCAATTGTGACTACTTAAAATATTATCTAACAACGTCACACATTCACTAAACGTTTTCAGCCCATTGCTGTGTTCATACGTTGCTGGCCAATCTTTCCGATTATTTTTTGTGGCTAATGTAGCCCTGTACTTTACTGTTGTGCTGTAAATCTTTGACACGTTTTTTTCTCTCGATAATGTCAACCAAAGGTATTTCAAAAAGTGTTTAACATCTAGAGCAATTTACTTCGTAAGAAGATTTCATTGTTCTCCAAGCTCAGAAATACAAATTTTAGAGTAGGTCCATTTATTACTGAGCTGTCAGCCAGTTTTATGAATATTGCATAGTTCATGCCTGGAGATCTTTTATTCATCTTGTCTTATTTTCAGCATGTTGGCATCTGAGGCCCTGACTCTGACTGAAATAACAGATGGCCTCTTATCCACAGTTATTCTATCGAAGAATCCATGGTGTCTGGGTCTTAAAAGTGGAGTTTGGCTTTCATACCAGTGGCAATTCTGCAAATCCCGCACACCCCCATCCAAAAAAATCTAGGAATATTCCAAAAATGTAATATATAGTCAACATTAAGAAGGAAAACGAATACTATCATTTACAAAATCCGGCAATATCAATGTCTAACCCCAACTCTAAATATTTCACCTGTATATGACAGTCTGATCGACATTTGCTTCATTTCAATGGTGATTCCATCCATGCAGTTTGCTATTAATCTAACTCTACAACCCTCTTTCTAAAATGTACCGAATGTAGAAAGAGGATTTTTTTCACTCTGTAAACATACTAATAGCAATACATTAACAACACACACAAAAATATATGACCAAACTTTAGATCCCACCGACAATGTATCATGTTCCATGCTAATCAAATCCTGTTCCATCCCAACCTAATCTGATCAAAAAACAAATTAATATTCTCCTTTCCATCAGAAGTTACAATCTGCCATTTTATATCTGTGGTTTGACCTTTAAAAATCACTCCTGTCAAAGTCCTTCAGTTCCCATGACCTTTTTAGAGAGTAGAGAACTCCTTAACATTACCAGATGTGTAACTCGTTAATGTCCATTACAGCACCTCCCCGTGTATCACGTCTAATTCAGCAGAGATGTTACCCTCCTGCTCCTGTCTCATTACTGAATCTCAGATGGTTTCAGCACTGACTGATAAACACCTTGGTCCATTTTCAGCTTCAGTTACACTTTGCTATTCTATGCTAATATTGCTATTTTCTAAGTCTATCATCTAAGTGTATGATCAATAGGCTGTCCCCTGGACACAAGGACATAATTGTTAGAGGAAGAAGAAGAAGAAGAATGAGGGGTTTTCAGAACTTTGTCCTGAATACTTCCAGAAGACATACCTAGTTTGGCAGAAGGGGTCTACATTAACTGAGATGCCACCCCGGTACAGACGAGATGGCCCAGGTTGCCAGCCGCCACCTGGAGCAGCACTTGGGCCAGAGTCAGGAACAGCTCCCGCACTGACCAGCCTATCACACACTTTCCAAGGTCATGAAAGCGTTGCAAGCCCAAGGACCGCATACAGCAGGCGTCACACGTGCTGCACATCCAAGGTCAGCCACCGCGTCACCGCCGGTCTGGCCCATTCATCACACGGCCGTGTCTGTGCAGCAGCCCACTCACGTTCCCCTGGCACAGCCAGGCACTTTGACAAAGGAGCTGCTGTAGAGGATCACCATTCGATCACCAGTGATGGCTATGGCAACTGGGGCCTAACAGGACAGCGAGCAGCCAGACCACTAAGGATGCCCATCTTGAACTTGGAATCTAAAATTTGAAAAATGCCACAAGGTGTTCCCGTA